TGGGAAAAAGGAACTCATTAAGCCAAATTCGACATTGATGAAGTTAAATTAAGATATATCCTCGATCCTCTCCTAGAAATATAACCTGAGAATTGTATCATACACAATAGGAATGTGTAATCTTGATTCATCACTACAAGTTTAAGATCATGGTACTATTTACAGAGGGCAGAGATTGCAATAAGATTACTATTTAGTTTCTTCTCATTCCCTCCTCTCTTTATTTATAGAGGACAGAGATTGAAATAGGCTCCAAGAGATTATATAATCACTTTTATATTGTGCAGTGAAACAAGGATGCTGGATCTGGCTCATTTCAAGTCATTACTAAGTTCCTTTCCTTTCTAACACCGTCATGAAAAATTAAGAAATAGTAAAAACAAGTGGCATCTTAAGCTATATGATATGGAATTAAAAACGAACTCCGAAAAACTATGCTTTAACAAAATGAAATTCATTTGATCCTTGTCTTAGGAAAAATAAGAAATTATGGTTGACCTCAGACAAATCAATGGCCAAAACAAAATAAACTCAATGGTAAAAAAATCCAATCTTTTCAACTAGCTTCATGAAAACCCAAGATAGGCTAACCAAGAGAGGGGTGAATTGGTTATTAAACTGTTTCTTTAATTACTCAAGATTTTAAACTAATGAGCATACAAATGATGGAGAAATAAACTAAACACAAGTAAGTATGTAAATGAAAGATATAAGCTTGCACAAAGTAAAAACGTTAAGTAAAAAGAGTTAGAGAGTGCATACGATATAATATGGAGGTTCGATCCAACGCAATGATCTACGACCTCCGTTACCAAGCTCTCCGGCACGGGCAAGGCATTTTTCACTATGTTGATTGACTTATGGTGCAATCCAACCCTTTACAACACTTCCGGTATCTTACAACCAAGGAGCACCGATCCTTTTACAATGTTGAGCTTTCCGGGACGTCAACATGATCCACAATTCAAAAAGAATTTACAAGAGGAATCTTCTCTTCTTATCAAACAATAGATTCAAAGTTGAGAAAAAGAAGAGAAGAGGCAAACACTTCGATAGATAGTAATGAGTGTAGCTCAAAGTGTTGGGTTGAAAAACTTTTTGAAGAATTAAGGATGGTCAATTAGACGTTATTTTTTGTCAGAAAATCAGACCGTTGACATTTGACCGTTGGAGCCAAAATTGGCCATACCGGACGTCCGGTACAGTCTTTTGGCTCGAAACGCCATCGTTTTTAATTTTTCTCAAATGTAAGTGTTGGAGGGACGTTTAAAAATATTTTTCAAAGTATTTGTCATATTTAAAAATGCTTGTTTGGATTTTTACCTTTGAAAACATATTTTACGAGTAAAATGTTTTGTCGTGATTTTTCGATTGTGAAATCAAAACTTGAGCTCGTCACGAATCATTGCCATGTATTGAAATGTTTTACCTTTACATATGATTGTACATGGTCAATGCTTTTTTCTTGAACATCTTGACGTGCATTGCTTGACGGTACTTCGACTTTTTTCTCGATTCTTGTTTATGCATCTTTTCTCTAGTTTTGCAATATCATTCTTGATAGCCTCGTTTGATCAATTTTGTTTCCACGTCCATGTTGTATGCAAATTTCTTGGCCTTGAACTTCGTGTCTTCAATTATATTGATTTGCAATATTGACTATAGACACTCGAAATCAATTTGTTAGAAATAAACGTTATATGTTTGTGATAATCAAAACGAGACGTCAACCATAGGTCAACAATTGTGACTTCTAAATTTTTCATCTGTGATCGATGAACGANTGTTTCGATTTTTACCTTTGAAAAACATATTTTTCGAGTAAAACATTTTTGTCGTGAATTTTGGATCATAAATCGAAACTTTGAGCTCGTCACGATTCATTGCCAAGTATTGAAATGTTTTACCTTTGCATATAATTGTGAAAAGTCTAAGTATTTTGTTTGAACATTTTGACGTGCATTACTTGACGGTACTTCGACTTTTGTCTCGATTTTTGTTGAGGCATCTTTTTGCGGGTTTTGCAATATCATTCTTCATAGCCTCGATTGATTGATTTTGTTTCCACATTGATCATTGTATGCAAATTATTTGGCCTCGAACTTAGTGTCATCAATTCATGTGCAATAATCACTATGGACACTTGAAATCAATTTGTTAGTAATAAACATAATTTGTTAGTGATAATCAAAACGAAACGTAAACTATAGTTCAACAATTTCCCCATTTTTGATTATGACAAACACAATGATTTGCAATGTATGATTAAAAACAAATTGATAGTTAATGTACACATTCCCCCTATCTATTTAGCATGTATTCCCCCTGTTTAAATATAATCATGCAAATCTCTATTTCTTCCCCCTATTGNTTATGACAAACACAATGATTTGCAAAGTATAAGTTGAACAAATTGATGAGGAATAAAATTTGCATACATGTATTCCCCCTATTTATTTTACTACAATTCTCCCCGTTTAAATATAATCATGCAAATCTTTTCTACCTCTTCCCCCTTTTGGCATAAGAAAAAAGTACGGAATCAAGTAAGAACACTCAATTATAGAGAGAGTACCAATAAAACAACTAATAGACATTTCATAATCATTTCAATATTTAAGCATAGTTAAGTACAGAATCAAAACGTTCAACCATAGTTTAAAGCAATTTTAAGACAACAATGAAAACTACGGTGCCGGAGGAGGAGGATGTGGAAAGCGAGCAAGCATGTCGGCAAAGAAAGCGGTCATCTAATCCTGCATAGTAGCATGTCGGGCGAGGATCATGTCTTGCTAAGCTCGTATGTGACGAAGTTCCCCGCTTATCTCATCGACAGTCGTAGTGAGAGAGTCCATCCGCCCATGCAAAAGAGAGAGCTAGTCTTCGTCAAGTCCTCGTCCAGTCGGTCGGGAAGCTCTCGACTTCGAGGTGCCGGTGGTAGGAGGCGTTCCCTCGTTGTCGTCATTGTCATCGTCGTACTCATCTTCTTCAATCGGTAACGTAGATGGCCCCGAGGACGGGTCGAACCCCTTTTTTTTAGCTACCTATTGTCAATTTTTCTTAACAATTTTCATGTGTTTAAGGGTGGTGGAACTAATGGTATCGGTGGGACGGGGTTTAATGAAAGCTTCATCATGAAGAGGAATGTCAAAATGTTTAAAAATCTTAGTCAAAAGCATGCCATATGAAAGAGCCTTGGCTATACGTGAAGAGTGTATGAGTTGCATGAGGCCCAATGCAATGGTCGGGAAATCAACTCGCCGACCGATAAGGAAATAGTCGAGAAGGAAGAGGTCAAAACAATTTACTTCATCTCGATGCCCTTTCCTAGGTAGAATAACGTTAGCAATGTTTTGCAAGACTTTACAAGGTAGAGTGAGTTGATTTGTTGAAATTTTAGTAATGTTTTCACAATCCTTACCCGTAACACGACGACAAGCGTCGGTCGGGTTATAGCCTTCCACCGAAGGGTGGGTTTTGTGCACATAGGTTTGGACATCACAAGGTGCAAGTTCAAGGAGAGTGTGAATAAGTGGTTTTGAAACCGTGATGCGAGTGTTTTTGATAAAGCACGAAATATCTCCTTGTCGTGAAGAAAATGTCATGTTTTGATAAAATTCTCACACTAAATGTGGATAAACATTTTCTTCTAATGAGCAAATTGATACCCAACCCATTGTTATGAAAAGTTCCTCAACCCTAAATGCGGGTGCATCAATAGAAAATGAAGGAAAATTAACGTTTTTACCTAGTAAAATGGGTAGCTTCGCAAAGGGGTTTGTTTGTGTCTCGGGTTCGAGGTCCATATCCTTGTCGGATGATGAAGGTGGAGTTCGCTGAATGGTCTACTTGAGCCACTTGCCTCTACCTCGAGAAGTCGCCATTTCACCAAAGTGATTTGGGAATTTTTTTTTTTTTTAATAAAAAAGGGTTGAGTTGAAAGGGGAATCTGAAAACCAAGTGTAAGAGTGAGAGTTATAGAGATAAATTCTTACAAAATAGTAGATTTCATACTTGAGAATGAATGTTAGAGCAAGGTTCGACCAAAAGTTTTAGAAAAATAGTTAGGGTTCGAACTTTGTAGAGCACCGTACGTGTTGGGGCGAAAATTGTGAGATTTGAGAAAAGAAATGAGCGAGAATCATGTAGAGAGGGATGAAAAACTTATAAATTTGTAGATCCTTTGCTTAGAGTGGAGATTGGGTTGAAATGTTGGAGGTAATCTTCTAGGGTTCGAAATGGAGAGAAATGTGATTTCTTCTTAAAAAAATTTTGAGACTTGAGAATCACTCTAGAAGGTGAGAATCGAAAGGATTTTAGTGA